CTTGTTGGATAATCAACTCCCTGGGGTCAAAAAGACTTTTAAGAAAAAGTTGAGTAAAGCTTTTTGAATTGAGTAAAGAAAAAGCTTTCTTCTTCTTTTTTTTTTTTTTTCTGTACAGTATGCCCTTGTTGGTTATCCATTTTAAATATAACAATGTGTACATGAACTTCCCAAACTCCCTAATTATCCCTGCCCGCCCCCACCCAGCCCCGGCAACCCTAAGTTCGTCTTCTAAGTCTGTGAGTCTCTTTCTGTATTATGATTAAGTCCATTTGTATCATTTCCTTCTGGAGTCCACATATAAGGGATGCCACACGGCACTCCTCCTCTGTCTGGCTCACTCACTCAGGGTGACACTCTCTCGGTCCCTCCACGTTGCTGCGGATGGCATTGCCTCATTCTTTGTAATGGCTGAGTATGTTTGTACTGCATCTTTATCCATTCCTCTGTCGATGGACATTTCATTTGCTCCCACGTCTTCGCTATCGTAGACAGTGCAGCAATGAACACTGGGGTGCATGTATCCTCTTGGATCATATTTTTCTCTGGATATATGCCAGGAGTGGGATTGCGGGGCCATATGGTAGCTCTATTTTTAGTTTTTTAAGGAACCTCCATACTGTTCTCCATAGTGGCTGTACCAATTTACATTCCCACCAACAGTGTAGGAGGGTTCCCTTCTCACCACACTCTCTCCACCATTTTTTGAGTAGCTTTCTTATTCATTGTTCTCATGAAGATATCTAAACATTGGTATGTTGATTTTACCAATTGTTTCTGAACTGGAAAGAAACTGAATTTCTTCCCACTTTCTTAAGAACATAAATTTTTTTTCCTGTAACTTTAAAGGTGGATTATGATATATTACAGCTGCCTGTTAAGTTACTGACTTTTATTTGCATAACATTTTAATAGTATTTATTTCTATTAGATTTGGTTATATACAATCATGAGATTATCAGTTTGCATTGTTTTCCTACCAGCTTTTTTATTTTAGTACTACATTTTGTTACTGATGTTTTCTGTCCAGCTAAAGAATATTTTACCTTAACATATTTTTAATTAGCATTTTGTGTCTTGCTCTTTTCTTTCTTCCCTTTTTTTTGACCTTGACTTCATTCTGTTATTTTCTGTTGGCTAGACCTGAAAGAGCAGGCTGAACAGCCTTGAGGTATAGTTTTAATAAAAGGTTTGCTGAGTAATCATTTGGTGTAAAATCCCAACCAAATCCATTAATAGGAAAAAGAAAGCAATATCTCTTCAAGGTTAACTTTCTTCATACTTGCTCACATGAATAACACACACTCACTGCACTCATTTAATTATTACCTCAATTCAACTATAGTTAAGGTCCATATTTCTAATAAGGAAAACAAAAAAATACATAAATTTATGAGAGCAGATTGTCAAAGAATATAGTTGTTAAAGATAAATTAGAACCATGGAGTTTTGCTTATATAAAATTGAGCCAATACCTCAGGAAAATGACTAGGAATACACTATTAATTGTATAGTTTGTTATTGTTTTTTAACTAAAAAAACAGAGCCTTCTTTCTCTTCTTTTCTCCTTTTTAAATTTTTGGCATCATGTAACATTCTCACAACCTAAATAAATATAGTCTTTTTTTTTTAGAGGTAGACATTATATATGTGAAAAAACTTATATATTTGGTGGGTTTTAAAATGAATTTGAGGAACTTCTCTGATGATCCAGTGGCTAAGACTCTGTGCTGTCAATGCAGGGGGCACAGGATCTATCCTGGCCAAGGAACTAGATCCCACCCACTGCAACTAAGAGATCACACGGCACAGCTAATACCCGACGCAGCCAAAAATTAACAAATGAAAATAAATAAAATGAATTTGAAAACTGAATGAGTGCTTGACTTCACTGAAGTCAGGGTGCTTTTGGAATGTATGGCACTCTAGCAGCTCAAGTCTATTTGAGAACTAGTATTTCAGGGAGTATCACCAAGCATTAACTACCCGTACAGTTCCTTTCACCTCTATTCAACTCTGTCAGGTAAATTACGACTATTTGTGGACTGTTGTTTTTCATTCTTATCCATTTCAAAGATCACAGCCATAGTGAGGGCTGTGAAATAGTAAAATGATGAAAATATGAAATAATGAAAAAATAACAAGCATTGACTTAAGTCATTTATTTTTCTGAAAGTTTCCTAACTTCCTATGAGAGACCAGTTAACCTAAGCTGCCACTTTCCCAGGAAAGAAGGTGGTAAGGTTTACACTGAAATCCTTGTGCTGAGTGCAAGAGGGAGAGGGAGAGAAATGAAAAGATTGATCTGACAACAACCTCTTGTTTGAAAATCTGCCTTTTTCAGGCTTCATTGTAGACTATGGCCCTGTGCCCATTTCCCAACTCAGCCTCTTGCACAACTTACTTATTTTGGCCCTCAGTAAAAGGAGAGGAGTTTGCTGTGTTATTTATTTTTTAACTCTGCCCCATGGAGCACTGGGATTTCTTAGAGTCTCCTCAAGAGTCCTACAGTGACTAGAGTGGAGGGACCAACAAGAGCAGGGTGTGTGTTTTTTTGTAATTGTTTTACAGTTGTTTTCAATAAAGACTTGTTTAGTTCAAAAAAACTTGATCACCTCCAGGGTCCCTTCTAGCCCTATAAAAGTGCACTGTTTTGTTTCCAGGGTTTTCCCTTTCATTTCTTTTTGAGAGGATAACCTTGTGAATACAGTTGAAAGGTAAAAGTACTAAATTAATATTTGATTTGGAAAGGCTAAATGAATGAACTTGTGTGAGAGCTTCACTTTGCTTTTAAAAGAAGGGGGCAGCAAGAGAAAACACATAGGATTTTAACCCTGGATAAAAATCTGCATACTGGGACAAAAAGCTTGGAATTGGCAGCAGCGAGGGAGTAAAGTAACTCATGAAAAGTGAAAAACTGCAGAGAATATTTGGTCTAACTTTTTTTTTTAATTTGAGATGATCATCATAAATTGGTTTCATTGTATTTTAAATGTAGATAATGTGCTATTTTGGAGGAGGAAATGGCAACCCACTCCAGTGTTCTTGCCTGGAGAATCCCGGGGACGGGGGAGCCTGGTGGGCTGCCGTCTCTGGGGTCGCACAGAGTCGGACACGACTGACGCGACGCAGCAGCAGCAGCAGCAGCAGCAGCAATGTGCTATTTGCTTTGGGCAGTTTATTAAGCTCTTAAGTGAAGTAAATTGGGCTTCCCAGGTGGCTCAATGGTTAAGTGTCTACCTGCAGTGCAAGAGACACGGGTTCAACCCCTGAGTTGGGAAGATCCCCTAAAGAAGGAAATGGGAACCCACTCCAGTATTCTTGCCTGGGAAATCCCATGGACAGAGGAGCCTGGCGGGCTACAGTCTGTGGGGTCACAACAAATCAGACACGACTGAGCAAGTAGACACACATACACACAAGGTAAATTACTCTTCATATGTCACAGCACATTGTTTCAGAAGTTATTCATGGCTGTTATTAATTGATTTGTCCAAACAGAAAACTGTTAAAGCTGCCTGAGTTATAGTTTCATATTTATAAAATACCCAAAGAAGCATCTGTACTAAAACTAAATAGGTCAATTTTTTAACTAATTATAGAGACCTAATTTTTTTTTTTGTCAACTTATTGTGATGAGAATGGGGAAGTAGTGGTTATTCTTGGACCTCACGTTCAGCAATTCCTCTCATTCCTTTCTGTACATGGTAAAATTGGATAATAGCACCAATTCGAGAGCCAGGCAGCCTGGATTCAAATTCTGGCTAAATGAACTTGAATAAGTCATTTTACCTCTCTGTGCCACCAGTTCCTGATAGTTATATACTTATGTATAAATGTTCTGGGGTATAAGTGAATTAATATATGTGATGCTCTTAGCACAGTCTCTGGCCTATAGTCGGCATGATTTTTTGTGTTAGCTATAATTACATTGTTGAGAAAGCAGAGATTTAAACCCTTAATGAAAATCCAACCTATGTGAGTGATAAAAGAGTCTGTGTGCTTAGGGAGGTGGAAAGGTATAAATTTGTGAGAATGAGTTCAAGAAGAATGAATATGGCACCATTCTGTGAGAAGGATTGCTACAGAGACACAGAGTCTCAGGGACCTTATAGGATGCTCTAGTCCAGACAAGAGGTAAAAATATCTGGAATTACTCTCTTAGTCCATTCAGACTGCTATAACATAGACAGACTAGTTTATAAACAACAGAAATTTATTCTCACAGTTCAGGAGGCTAAGACGTCTAAGATCAAAATGCGGGTAGATTCTGCGTTTGATGAGGGCCCTCTTCCTGGTTGATAGATGGCTGTCTTTTTGCTGTGTCACCAATCACATTCGTGAGGACTCATTATCTAATAACCTCCCACATTTGGGGTTAGGATTTCAAAATACTAATTTTGAGGGAACACAAATATCTGGTCTATTGCATCGACTCTTACAGTATTAGAGTAGAAAAAGGAAAAGGATATGTAAAAGATTACAGGCTTACATTTAGGGAAGGAGGAAGAAGATACTAACCTTACACTTTCAAAGTGGGTGACTAGCATTATGGATGTAACAAATCCAGGATCAGTCTTTGGTTTCCAAAGACTGATATATTGAGAAATAAGGAATGCAAGATTTAAAAGACTAATAAAGATTAAATGTGGTCATTATCATACTATATGGTTTCTATAATAATTAAACAGTTAATAGTCTTCATAAAGAAGCATGTAATAAGATCTTTTAAAGAATTTTCCTCTAGTTAAGAAAAATATGTCCTATTTTTTCATTTAGTTTCCTGCATTATATTGTATTAAGCCTAGAGGTTTGTCATCCTTCAATTCTTATATCTCAGGACAACTGATGTGGTGATGTGAGGAAGTCAGGCCTAAAACCTGTTGGGAATTAAACCATCGCCTTCTTCATTTAATCCAGCATACTATGTATGATATATATGACTATTCAGAGTCACAAATAATTTTGGTCTATTTCATAACTATTTTTATTATTTGCAGGTTCGATGGATGATGTACTGGATTGTCTTTGCCCTGTATACTGTAATTGAAACAGTAGCAGATCAAACAGTAGCTTGGTAAGTTGTAGCATTGAGAAATGTCCATAATGTAGACTCTTATCTGGTGTCCTGAGTTCTTATCCTGCTGTTAACTAAGAGAATTTTTTAAATAAATTTTTTAAAATTTTATTTATTTGTTTGGCTATGTCATGTCTGAGTTGCAGCACGTGAGATCTTTTTTGCATCGCAGGGCATCTTTCCTTGTGACGCGCAGACTTCATTGTTCTGTGACATGTGGGTGGGATCTTAGTTCCCCAAACAGGGATCAAACTCATGCCCCTGCAGTGCAAGGAGGATTCTTAACCACTGGACCACCAGGGAAGTCCATCCCTAACTAAATGAGTTTCATCAGTCTACCTGATTATCCCTTATATCATTTCCTTTACCTGGTTTCCCCACAAGGACATTACCTTCCTTATGGAGTCCCCCACGTAAAGGCAGTTCATCCTCCCGCCCACGTGCCACTTCCTCCCGCCCTCCTCCCACACACCTCCCAGGATCTCAGAACAGAGAAAACTTGATTGTCATCTTTTTTCCCCACTGATGACTTCAGACTATTTTTTCTTTATTAATATTTCCTAAGCAAACTCTCATTTTGCTTCTGGTTTTAGCACTTCCCTCCCATCCTTAAAATCGTCATCCACAAACATTCAAACTGGATGACATCAAGTCCACACGGCCAACCACCCGCTCCCAACACAGCTCCTCGACTGCCCTATTCCAAACAGCATGGAGCAGGATTGAAACATGTTTCTAACCTCAAGGATCGAACATTTTACTGAGAAGTCATACTGAGTGGAACAACCTGAGTCTCCTTGAGCCATATTTCAGTAGTGTATTTCCAGCTGTACCTTGCCATCACTTGGAGAAGTCGTTTTTTCAAACTCTAAGCTTTTACTACCTCGCCACTATCTTCAACCACCTGTACTGCACAAACCCCCAACTTAAATCAGCCCAACGACACTCCTCTTTTCTTCTCTACCCAGGCTGCCAGCTGAGCTGAAAAGAAATCACTCAGTTGCTCATATAGGTATCAATTTGAAAGTCACCATTCCTTTTACTTGCTTTTGGTCAGTGGCTACTTCCATTCCCTCCTGTTTCTGTTTCAGATCTTTACTGTTCTCTGCTTTAACTGTCTTTCTGACTTTTTAAGTCTCATCATATTCTCATAGCACACTAGGTCACATTGGATGGCTCAGAAAAAAATAGAAGTCATGAGACTTAAATGTTCTTCACAACCAACCCTTATGTATCAACTTCTCTGTATCTGCATCCATCTTTCTCTTCCTCCTTCTGTCCCACAGTTCATTTTTCTGTTATGTTTTGGTAAAGGGATTTGGGAAGGTTTTTTTTTGTTTGTTTGTTTGTTTTTAAGTGACAGAACAGGTTCTAAACCATGCTAGGCATGCTATGGCTCTTAAGTTTCCATGTTCTCTCTTTAAATGCATCTCTTTTTTTCTGGTTGAAAATGTACATGTATACAGTATTAAAAAGTAAACAAAGTAGAAAAAACTTGTCATGAGCAACGAAAGTCCAGAGACTCCTCTGTAACTGCACTGTGCGGAAACCCTTCATCTATACAGTAGTCGGTCCTCACTGCCCCCTGCCCATCTGTCTCATCAGAAGAGCCCAGATTTTTTATCATGTATCTTAGTAGTGCATAGACCACAGGATGCTTGTTCCCTTGTGCTGTATTACTTAACTTTTGCTATGGCCACAAACAACCCTAAAAGCACAATGGGTTAAAAAACAAACATTCATTTCTTGCTCAGGGTATATGAAGACAAATAGTCAGCTGCCAGCCTTCCTGGGCTCAGCTCAGTTTTAAGTGTCTTCTTGTTCATGGACCAAGGCTGAAGAAGCAGATATTCCCATGACAGGAAGCAGAAGTTGAAAGCAAGAGGTTGGGGGGTGTTGAAGTGAGGGAGTCAAAGGACATTTAAAGCTTTTCTTTGCATTTAACATATGTTGCACTCACATTCTGTTGCGCAGAGCAGGTCACATGACTAAGCCCACAGTCCTTGCTTGAGGAAGTGTAGTCAGCCTATGGGAGAAGATGCTGAAAAACCCAAGTGGGAAGGGGCACGGGTGTATAACCCTAATTTCAGGTTACCACAATGGAAATTCCATTTTCCTTCCAAGTGAACAACTTAGGTCTGTCAAGTACTGCAATTCTGGCCAAGTGAAATTGGAGGGGGATGATGTTTTCTGGGAGCTCTAAGAGAAGGAGATGTGCATTGCATACTTGGAGCTTATAAATGCTTAGAAACACACCTAACACTTGGGAGGTATGTCCTGCTAATGCCATGGCAGCTAGGCTCTGCAGACAGGGTGGGTGCACCTTACTGTCCTGGTTAAATGCTTTTAATGACCTCTGCCAACAAAGGTCCATCTAGTCAAGGCTGTGGTTTTTCCAATAGTCAGGTATGGATGTGAGAGTTGGACTATAAAGAAAGCTGAGCACCGAAGAATTAATGCTTTTGAACTGTGGTGTTGGAGAAGACTCTTGGACTGCAAGGAGATCCAACCAGTCCATCCTAAAGGAAATCAGTCCTAAATATTCATTGGAAGGACTAATGCTGAAGCTGAAACTCCAATACTTTGGCCACCTGATGCAAAGAACTGACTCATTGGAAAAGACCCTGATGCTGGAAAAGATTGAAGGCCGGAGGAGAAGGGGACAACAGAGGAAGAGATAGTTGGATGGCATCACCGACTCAATGGGCATGAGTTTGAGTAAACTCCGGAAGTTGGTGATAGACAGGGAGGCCTGGCGTGCTGCAGTCCACGGGGCTGCAAAGAGTCGGACACGACTGAGCGACTGAACTGAACTGAACCTGAACTGAATGACCTCTCTGAACTGCTCCAGTTAGTTTGACAGCTTGTCTGTCTTTGCCTATAGAGAGTAATCTTGGAACTTCCTTGGCTGTCCAGTGGTTAAGACTCTCCCTTCCAATGCAAGGGGTGCAGGTTTGATCCCTGGTCTAAGATCCAACATCCATGGAGGTGCAGCCCAAAAGTAAACAGTTTTTTTTAAAAATGTACATGAATGGAACAACTTTGAACTAGAAGTTGTGAATCGCTGCAAGGAGACAGGCTGCTCTGATCTATATAATTAGTGAGATTAATTTGTCAGTTCAAACTTAGTTGTTTTCCTGATCACAACTTCTTACCTGTGAAAGCGTAACACAGTGACTGAACTTTAAAAAAAAATTTGTGTGTGATTTCCTCATTGTCTGTAGTTTATTTTCACCAGCATTCTTTTCAAATTTTTTCTTGTCAGGTTCCCCCTCTACTATGAGCTGAAGATTGCTTTTGTCATATGGCTACTCTCTCCTTATACCAGAGGAGCAAGTTTAATATATAGAAAATTCCTTCATCCACTACTTTCTTCAAAGGAAAGGGTAAGATGTATAAATTATTTCCACAAATCATTTGTTAGAAATGTGTTTCATCATCACATGTTGCATGCTATAAAATGAGTGAAACTATTATATTAGGGGGGAAAGTCCTAGTTTTCAGCTTCTTGACATTCTTTTTAAATAAAATTAATATCTATGGGCTTGATTTTTTTTCCAGGAAATTGATGATTATATTGTCCAAGCTAAAGAACGAGGCTACGAAACTATGGTAAACTTTGGGCGGCAAGGTTTAAATTTAGCAGCTACTGCTGCCGTCACTGCAGCAGTGAAGGTAATTTTTTATTTACCTTTTTTTTAATCCAGTGTCACATTGCCAATGAACAAAGTAGGGTGGCTTTTTATTTCAGATCATTATAAATTTTGACACAAATTTACCTTCTGTTTATTTTTATAATATGAGAAAACAACAAGTAGACTATTTTAAAGATATTTTAACATGTCTCTATAATTGTTGGGTATTTTGAAACTCTTAATTGATGACAGAATGAGAGATGGTAATAAAACATACTGGAAAAATGTCATTTTGTCATAATCTTCCTACTTTCTAACCTTAAAATAGTTTTGAGTAAATAACCTTTAGTAAAGATGACCATTCTTTCTTTCTCTGTCTTTGGTGTTTTTTTCCCTCTCTCTCTCCATGGCAAAATCTTGGTAGGATTTCTGGCTTACATCTGCACCCATACTTCAACCAATTTGAGGTAACTGATTATTCAAAATAAGGCATGAAAAATTTCTGTTCTTAAAACTTAAGATTTTACTTAGCCAATTACTAATGTCATGCGTTGTGTTTTGCAAGCCAAATTATCAAAGGAATGCCTTCTGTGAAAATCCGCATTATGGCTTTTGGATTTCTTTGCATGTAGTAATTAGTGTGGTTGATTTTAAATCCCATGGCATTATTGGTTTTGGTGTGTAGTATGTGGAAAGAAAATAGGTTTCAGCTTCAGAAAGTTCTGAGTGTGACTTTCCAAATAACCATCAGCCTTTTACTTAACTTCTGCTTTGGGAGGATGGCAGGGAGGAGAAAATGAGGCAGAGGAGAACTAAAGTCCTTGTCTGCTATATAAGAAAGTAGAGGTTTTAAAGTGGTTGTCTGAAAAAAAAATAAATAAATAAAGTGGTTGTCTGCAGGGGGATGGAGAGAGGGGACCAAAGGTTTATTGCTTTCTTTGTTATAAAATTTAGCATTATTTAACATCACAAATCAAGTACATGTTATTTATTTACACCCCCAAGAAGATGCTTTCTGAATTTTCCATACTTAAAAGCAACATTCAACCTGACTCTGTGGTGAAAAACTAAAAACTAAATTTCAACATCAAAAATTGTTTAGGAATATAGACATTATAGAGCACTGTTTCAGGAAACAGACGCACACAAATCTCATTTGCCCTCTTCACTTCAACACTTAAATATGGTTTATAATCCTACCTACTCTGTGAGACTCGTGTCGTAACTGTTTTGTGGGATATTTATTTTATTTTGACTTACTACTTCCAACCTCTGCATGAGGAACCAGAAACCCCAACTGTATTATCTTTCCTCATTCCTTCGTTTATTTTTATTTTATACATACTTTGCTTGCTGCCATCAGTATTTAACATCCTATATGTTTATTTAACAGATATTTAATGTATTGACCATCTAGGTATGTATTTAATGCCTACTATATGGTAGGTGCTTGGGATGTAGCAATGAACAAACAGATACAGTCCCTACCCTTTCAGGCCACTACTGTCAAGCTGAATGTCTGTATCCACTAGCTGAAAATTTTACCTCATCTTTGGTTGCTTAGAGCCTACCCCTTGCCCTCCACTATTAAAAAAAAGCATTATCTAGTAATTCCCTGGTGGTCCAGTGGTGAGGATTCCATACTTTCACTGCGAGGGCCAGGGTTCAATCCCTGGTCAGGGAACTAAGATCCCACAAGCCTCAGGGTGCAGACCAAAAAAATAAATAAAAAATAAAATAAGCATTATCTTACTGAAACACCATTTTGTAGAAAGACTATAAAAATGATCCCATACCTATATTTCTCTAGCTTCTTTGTGATCTATTGCTTGTCTTTATTTATACATTTAACAAATTAAAATCACCTCCCCACTTCAAAGGCAGGAAACAGCATAAAAATTATTTAAGTGACCACTGCAAAACAAACCCACTGTAACTTGAATTCACTTTGGAACTCTCTTTTCGCTTGTGATCTTGTGATCCTTTTGTTGTCAAGTTCACTGTGTATAGTGAGCTTGATATGATGAGGCAACCCTCATCATTCTCCCGATGAGCAGAGGAATGTTGGCATCAGCCATACTGGATTGTATTCATGAGAAATGGTCATTAAATATGCTGAACACAGCATAATGTTAACACTATTTGCCTCAAGTTTTACTGTGCCTGTTTTAAAGTAGGGGAAATTAGTTTTATCTCTGGAGATGTCAAGGAAAGGCAGCAACTGTGATGGAATAATCACTGAACCAGACATTTCCTACTGAAGAATAAATTGAAACTGAAATAGGAAATAGGTCAAGTTTAAGGAGAAACTGCAGGAAAGCTAACAGTAAGACCTGAGAATTATTAAACTTTTTTTTTTTCTTACAGTATATGGTTTGTTAAAAATATCTTTCAGACTAAAAATACTGAACTCTCAGTGTGACCTTTAAAGACTGGCAATACCCCTGGCTAGGTTTCCCAAGTTGAATCGCCTGAGCATGTTAAAGATGAAACTAGGAAATCTAATCAGAACATTTATTACACCGTAAAGCAATTTTCTGAAAATATTACTCAGTTCTGTGACCTCATTACCCGGCATCTGTTCACAAGGTCAGTGTACAAGTTTATCTTGGCTGAGTAAAGCACAAACATATGAAGGAGCTTCAAGGATTTTGCTGAGGATGTTCAACGTCCCGTAGCTTTCACATGAGAAATGCCAGCGGCGTTTGTACAGACGAGCAACACTTCTGCTGAATGAAGGACAGACGAAGAAAAGAACTGTTAGTCGTATTAAGCACCTCTTAGGATTTTCTCTAGCAGCCTTTTCTTGGTGAATTCTTTAGCAGATATTATTTTTTAAAGAAATCAATTATCACAGAAATGAGAGCCTTCAGTTAAAATTTCTGAAATCTTATTGACTGTAAATAATGACGGTTATGTCAGAAATCCTGACATCTTGCTATCTGTTTTTATGGCTTTCTATTTGTGAAAGAATTTGAGGAGATTCAGCTGCTTAGTATCATCTGTTTAAAAAAGAGAGCACTTCTTCAGACAATGGAGAAGATCATATTTTTTTTTTTCTCTGCAATCTAGGGAAGCACAATGTTATAATGAAAGTTGAATTTTGTAGCAGTTGAGTTGTCAGCATTTTTTAGCCCTGATTCTGTCGCTAATTAGCCATGAGATTTAGGGCAGTCATCTGCACTGATCTCTTCAAGTATCCATGTTCTTACATGTAAAATGAAGGGGTAAAAACTGACTTCTAAAACTCCTACTCGAAAATGATGTTTCTCAACTGGGGGCAATTTTGGTAATGTCTGGAGAGATTTTGGGTTGTCACAACTGAGGCGGAGGTGCTGCTACTGGCATCTTAGGGAGAGGACAAGTATGCTGCTTCCAGAATGGCTTCTCAACACAAAAAATTATCTAGACCAAAACAGTACCAATGCTGAGGTCGAGAAACCCTGCTCTGAAAGTATAATAAGTCAGAAAAGGCTTAAAGGATATGTAAATATGTACAGGTAATTTGGATGATGGGTTATAGATCATCTTTTTTACATTTTTCTCTGTTACAAACATTCTTCAATAAATATATATTGCTTTCATCTTAAAACCATGAAAATATAGTACTCACTTAATGCAAATGCAGTCAGTTCCATTCTCGGCTTGATCAGATTGTGTTAAATAATCTGTAAGGACAAGGCATTCCCCTAAAAACTGCAGACTCTCCTTATTCTCAGTTATAATGTAGTATGTCAAGGATCAACAAGAAATAGACTACTCATTATTGATCAGTGTCCTAAAAATTATTCCATAAAGAATTGTTTGTATGCTTATAAGATTACAAAGCATTGCTGATTATATTTTTTAATTCTTAATTTAAAAATTCTGTGAGGATAAGTTGAAGATTTTATACAAAGGTGATGATAAGCACAGTAAATTATTCTTATTTAACACAAAATATGGGGCTTTCCTGGTCGCTCAGCGGTAAAGAATCCACCTGCAGTACTGGAGATGCAGGTTCAATCCCTACGTCAGGAAGATCCCCTGGAGTAGGAAATGACAACCTACTCTAGTATTCTTGCTTGGGAAATCCCATGGACAGAGGGGCCTAGCAGGCTATAGTCCATAGGGTTGCAAAAGTCCATGGACACAACTGAATGACTAAACAACAACACAGTAATTTTAATATAATATTTAACCAGAAAACAAAATACTTAAACAAAGCAGAATGGTTGGGTATAAAGAGGTTAGAATTAGTCATACATCATGGTCCGTTTTTACAGATGCCATACACAGACTTGGATACTTGAGTAGACATGCAAATTTTCAGCTATCAGTGAGCTTCTGTGTGGGGCCAGCTTGGGAAGCTGCTTGTTGGCTAAAGCATTCTTTCCAGAGCTTGGACCCAGCCCTCCCACCCAGCCAGCCTTACCTCATTCTTAGTTTCTTAAATAGATGTTTTGGGCTCATCTAAATTCAAACTCTGAGACCTCTGAGCTCCCTGAAGACAGGAACACTTGGTCTAATGATGTAAAGTGTTCTACAGAATACTTTTTAATTACTTTGACTTTTGTTTTCTCATTATAACCTTTCTGTTACTTTTCTCTTTGATTTTTAGGACTAAATTTAACAGACACGGTGTATATACAATTCTGTAGAGAATAGGATCTAAATACCGGCATATAGAATTACCTTGTGGATAGTAACTCCCTTCTGACTTACTAAGACTGCTGTTTCCACACATATTTCCCTCCTCAGACTAGAACCTGTCTTCATTTTTCTTATACTTTTCAGCTTAATAGTGTATAAACCAAATGCAAGAAAATAAATCAAGCATTATTAACTTAAACAAAATATAAATACCTTTTAGTATTGTTTTGATAAGTGGCTATAATTTCCTGCTTGTGCCCTCAAAATATAGAAACAGTTTTTCTTTTAATGATGGGAGTAAGGGATTTAGATACTGGAAAGATGATGAAGAAATAGGTCAGAAATTCTTATAGTGTATTATGTTAACAATTAAAACTTCATTATACCCTCTGTGATGACTTCTGGGATGGGGGGTGGTGGGAGGGAGGTTCAGGATGAAGGGGATATATGCATACTTATAGCTGACTCACATTATTGTACAGCAGAAATCAACACTCTGTAAAGCAATTATCCTCCAATTAAGGACAAAACTTCACTATTCCATCTATGACTGGTTTTGTAATATAAAGAAATTTTTGAAAAAAATGGAAATCACTCCTCTGCCTACACATTATACTGTTTTAACTTTTTAAATATTTATTCCTGTCTAACTGTAACCATACTGCACACTTGCACCTATATTTTGCATGATTTAGAATTCTGAGGTGGAGGGGAGGCATTTCCTCCTAACATTTTATTGCAAACATAATTCCCTTATTAATGGACTTTTTGTGCAGAATATATAAAAACTAGAGGGAATAGCTCTGCCTTTAAATGCAGTTATTTTATAATGACACCTCTCCTTTAAAGTGGTCACATTGGATACTTATAATTTATGTAGTATTTTTGAAGTTTGCAGTTGTGTAATATCCCCCCCCCCCCCGCCCCCCGCCATGTTATTTCTATTCTGGGCTCATTAGAAAACATACAGTGAAAAGAAATGATTTTTCAAAGTGATAATGGCTGCTGAAGTGCTGTGAGTCCTCAAGGAGGGTACACAGCCTCTTTTTGCTTTTCCCTATATGGTACCTGGCCTCTTTTTTTGAGGATTGATAATACCAGGGCTAGAGGGTTGATTACTTAAGAGCTGCATTAAAATCCTGACTGTATGTAGATCACACGCATCTCGGTGTTGGTCCTTGCTCACCTTTCATGGAAACCTGAAGCAACCTCCTAGTGAATGGTGTAATCTAACCCTGTAGATACCCATGACCATACTTGTGGTTTGGTGCTGAACCTATCCATATAAACTCAACATGTTTACATTCAAACATGCTACTATCTATAGAGAACTCTGTAGCAGTCATGAGTAATGAAAAAAAAAGGCTTAAAAAGAATAGTTTACTTATTACATATTCAGTATCAGTCCTGTACCAGGTACACTCAGAGAACAGAGGAAGCCTAAGATTTGTCCCTGTCTTCTAGTTTCTTAAAATCTTGCCCTGAAGGCAAAATATATAAAGCACAATCACAGAACTAACATTAATGTGTGAGTTCATTTGTGAGATATACCCTAAGTAATTAGTTGATGATAATCATTAAAGATACTGAAGTCTGTGGATGATTAAAGCTAGACTGATTCAACAGCACTTTGACTTATATGCATGCTGAGATGTACTTTCTTTCTTGAGTGGGAGGGTTTGGGGGTTAAGAATATAGGATATTATGGATGTGTATTACCATCTGTTTGGCGATGGCAAAAAAAAGTCAAGAATTGCTGAGAGGACACAGAACCACAAAGATCGGAACACAGAAAATGACAGTTCTGCGAAAACGAAGCATCTGTTTCAGACAAGCACTGTTCACTTCCTTTTAGTGTGTGTCTGAAGTCTTTTGTCATCCTCTATTTAATAAATAAATGATGTCTGATAAAAAGAGAGTATAATAAATTAAACCTTGTCAAGAGTGTTTAAGGATATGTGGAATCCAACTAATTTTATTGAGAATATAGATCCGTTTGGTGGCTCAGACAGTAAAGAATCCATCTGCAATCAGGAAACCTGGGTTCGATCCCTGGGTCGGGAAGATCCCCTGGAGAAAGGAATGGCAACCCACTCCAGTATTCTTGCCTGATGAATTCCATGGACAGAGGAGCCTGGCAGGCTACAGTCTATGGTCGCAAAGAGTCGGACACGACTGAGTGACTAACACTTTCACTTTTCACTAGACCCTTTAATTATGCTTTTTTATAATTCAAAGACTGTGGTAGAAATTACAAAGCTTAAGTGGGCTATGGAAATGGTGTTCAGGTTTGACATAATAGAATATCACTAAGAGTAGCTAATCCAAGACTCATGAATCAAGACATTTTTCTTCAATGTAAAATACATATTAGCAGTAACATTGAGATGTTTGTAATGGTTTAGGCTTTGAAATTTAAAGATGAACCATTATGGATGAGTTTCTACAGTACCATTATAAGTAGAGGCAATCATAAATTCACATGTGTGGGAAGAAGAAATAATAAGTGTAAAAAAACCTTTTGAAGAATATTTTTAATCCATCTATAAATAAGAAATGAGTCATCTGTATGCTATGCAAATTTTCAAAGTGGGTAAATTTAGAAATTATTTTTTTCTCTTTACAAAGCTTTATACTTTGAGAGGAAATGTAGTTATGTCTGAAAAGTTCAGAAATGTTCCTTTCAAAGCTGTGCAATGATGAAAAGCATTGACCATTCTGCAGTGATGGAGATACTCTCTACCTGCACAGTCACTTGCCACATGTGGCTATTGAGCATTTGAAATGTAGCTCGTGCAATTAGGGAGCTGAATTTCTTCTTTCTCTCAATTTTAGTTAGCTTTAAATACCCACTTGTGCCTAGTGTCTACCATATTGTTAAGGCTTTAAGTCAAATTGTGTGGTATTAGATATGCTTTGCCAGATGATGAATTCATTAACTGAATATCATTTCATACTCAAGATTCTTTGGCTCTTGAATTTTTTTGTGTGGTGTTCTAGGTAGAGCCATTACCATTCCTAACTTGACTTAGCTTTGAAATAGCATCTCTTTTACTTTTAAAAAGTTCTTGTGAATCATAAATATAAGCCTCAAGGTGCTAATTCTAGGAGAGAGCAATATTACAGATGATGTTTATAGTCAGGATAAGTTCATGATACTTTTTTTTTTTTTTTACATTTTCAAGTTAAATTTAAAACAAATGTTTGGGAGGGAAATGTACTGATGTCTACAGCTTGCTTTGAAATGCATTAAAAATTGATTGGTGGTTGGATAGATGGTAAATTAGTGATAAACCAGATACAGCAAAATATAAATGATATATGGGTATCCACTGTAGAAGTCTTTCAACGTCTCTGAAAGTTTCATTATGAAATGAATCAGCTTCATGATGAAATGTTGGGGGAAAGTTAAATGCAAACATATTAAGTATTTTAAAACACACATTTTTCTTGGATCTGTCGCTTCTCTATTAAACAGAGCCAAGGAGCAATAACTGAACGTTTGCGAAGTTTCAGTATGCATGACCTAACAGCTATTCAAGGTGATGAGCCTGTGGGACAAAGACCGTACCAGCCTCTCCCAGAAACAAGAAAGAAAAGTAAATCAGGCTCCGGTGAAGCAGCAGGTGTGCTTGTTTTGTTTTCACGTATTGTTCTGTCATAATTGGGATCTTGAGTCAAGATGGGTACCAGCTGTCTGAATTTGGGTAAACTAAATTTATCTTTAGTTTGGCATCACCGACTCAATGGAGATGAGTTTGATTAAGCTCCAGGAGTTGGTGATGGGCAGGGAAGCCTGGTGTGCTGCAGTCCATGGAGTCGCAAAGAGTCAGACACGACCGAGCGACTGAACCCAACTAAAATGTATCATTAAGCTTTTGTTTTTGTTCTCTAAATAAGGCTAGTGTTTGCCTTTTGTTGACTCTGGAGAGAATCCCACTAAGAAAGTAGCAATAGCCCCATGTGCTGCCATGAATTTCTAGACGCAGTGGATGTGGTCGTCTGTCACCACCCGCACCAGTCCTGACCTGTGCTCTCCGCTCTTGTTTCTCAAGTTGTGTAGCAACATCTAAAGAGTTTAAACCCTCTTTACTGTAAGTGCTGTGAACAAATAAGGATATTGAACCATAAGATGAAAAGTTTTAAGCAGTGACAAAAGAGCAGTTTGATAATAAGATTACTCCAATGGAAAAATGTCTTGAAATTATGAATTGTAGACCAAAAACCCACTTGTTTTAATATAAATTGTAAGCATGTCATGGTTGATATGTGCTAAAACTTTAATAAATGGTGATCTTAGAAACATGCACACAAACAAAAAGACATGGTTCTTGTAGCCTTTTTTTTTTTTTTCACATGTAAGAAAATTATAGTTCAAGGCTCAACTGAGAACTAAGATCTTCAGGACATTTCTTATTAGTGTCTTATTAGGTCCATAAAGTACAGGGCTACTGGATCTTTTTTTTTTTTTCCCCAAGTAGAAGTTTTCTTTTGAAGTACACTGAAAATCATTCTTTATAATTAAAACCAACTTGAAAAGAATAGTTGCTTCTTATAAAGAAAAAATAATGAAATTTCTTCTAAGTTCTCCCTAGAATAACTTTTAAAAATTGGTGGCTATTATCTAAAAAGTAATAATTAAGTACTGGCCATTGAGTAAGGTACTAATGCCTTTAAGAATGAGTAAACTTTGAACCTTGAATCATCATCCTTAATACTTTAATAATGTAAAAGTAGCTCCTAATATAAGGCATTTTCTTAACAGGCATTTAAAAAGTTAGGTGTACTGACATTGAATATGGGATCTGCTATATATATTTTGCTGATTTGGACCAGTAATCTGAATCCTTTATCAGTAGTTGATTCATAATTATACCTTAAAATTGGTTAAGAACTATATTCCAATTATTTAAATGAAAACAGGATTATAAATTTGAAAATCCATGACACCATTTTTACGGGATCCGTCTATTAAATTTAAAATGCTAAAAAAAAAAAATAAAAAAATAAAATGCTGTGACTAAAATATTTTAAGATAAGGTGCTCATTAGTTCTTCTGTTGAATTTTAAACCGTGAATTAAAATAACAAGAAAGTTGGGAAACAAACAGTCTCATACACTTTTTATGAATGTTTAATGTATAACAATCTTTTTGGATGACAGTCTAGTAACAATTATCAAAATGTATTCTCTAACTCAGCAAGAAACTTCTAGGAATAGTCATAAAGAAATAATCAGGCAAGTGTGTTCATTTTATTGATGTTTATAGTAACAAAATATTGGAACAAACCAAACTCCTAAGAGAATAGTTAAGTAAAAGGGCAGCTATTAGCAGTGAAAAATAATAATGTCAGTTTATATTGATACTTACTGACATGAAAACATATCCAGATTGAGAGGGAAAAACAATAGTAATGAAACAGTGTGTTTGTTATGATCCTGTACCATAGAGGCACAATAGACAGATGGATGAAATGGATTAATATATGTAAATGTATTTTTAAGATTTATGTATGTAGAAGACAGTCTGAAAAGGTATTATGAAAATGTTAACAGCATTTAGCTCTGAGTTGTGGGCTTCTATTGATTTTTTTTAAATTAACCCATTACTCTTAAAATAAGAAATAAAACAACTCTTCTTCTTTTATTAAGATATTCATTTTCTTATATCTTAAATTTTTTTCTATTTTATTTACTTCTAAAATTTCTTAAGAAAGAAAGCAAGTTGGTAAGTTTTTCAGTGTGGGAATTATATTTACATTGCAAAGTCTGTTTACTAGTTCATGTAATCAATACATTTATCTCAGAACACAAGCAAATTCAACTGTTTGAGAAAGTAGTTCCCTCTTAAAAGCTAAATGGCTTGCTCTGAGCAGTTTGGCTGATCAAGAGAAGTCTTGCTTTGATGAAGTTATTCTAGTTCACGTGTTGTCACTATGGGAAAAAGAGCTACCTCCAAATGTTTTTTTGTAAGAAAATAGACACCTTGAACATGATGTTCACTTCCTTAGAAAGAACACCACATTCTCATAAGTGGAAATATTTTTTTCTGCAAAGAAGCTGCTGCTCTCATATTAGTTAAAAGTGCTTCAGTATCATTTTCAATATACCAGCAGATAAAGGGAGTTGTTTTGTCTTGTTTTCAATGCTTTATATATTTATTTAACCCTGAAGATGACTATGCAGGTTAAATATTTTTATCCTTATTTTGTAGATGAATAAACTGAGACCTAAGGAGATTAAATTACTTGTCAAAGACCACATACTAAGTGACAGAAATGAAGTATCCAAGGTTCTTCATCTAATCCTCTCTCTTTTTACTTTATGAAGAGACTACACTTAGTGAGACACTTGGGCTGGAACAAGGACTGCAAAGAATTTAGCAGGAGGGGACCTTAGAAATGCTTTTAGTCAAAGAAGGCCAGTAAATGACATCCCTTCGTGCCCATGGCAGACGTTGCTAATGGATTGCAGCACTTCCCATCTGGCCCAGAATCGCACTCAACATAGCACCCCAGACAGCTCTACTGGCTCAGGGTTGGCATTCACGTATTAATAGTAACCTACTCATCTCCCACCTGCCTCAACACCTTACCAGATAAGAAAACTGAGGCCCAGAGAGGCAAGACTCACTCAAGTTCTTACAGTAATTGTAGCAAGATGCTCACTCGTTTCTCCTCTCGTGGATCCAGGGCTTCTTCCAGCATGATAGCTAAGGCTTCCTCCTCCCAAGTCAGACCTTCCATGATTCTGCACTTACATTAATACGTGAAACTGCTTCAAACATGCCTGGTCTTTGCTAAGTGCTGGATCAGTATTGGCTATTATTATTATAAAGGGGTGGGAGGGAGGAGAGACTTAAAATATACCAATTCTAAGATGTGCACGCTATGAATAAAACCTGGTCAGTCCGCATAAGCGTTTGCTCGTTTCTTACAATGGTAACAGGGCACTGGGTTGAAGCTGGCCAAACAGCTGCAGCCTCAGGCCTCAGGGCCCCTGGCAACACAGACTTCTCATTCTTGGGTTCCCAGTCACTGCCCCTGAGGAATGTGCGTGGACAGCACCATTCTGAGGACCTTGTCCAGTCTAGATTGATGATGGGAAACGGCTGACCGTAGCATCACCTTTGTTGGCCAGCAGCACCCCACCAGCTTCACCTTGCCCGGACTTGGCAGACCTGCTCAGCCAGCTTGCTGGGTTCCTGTTCAGATAGGGCATCTAGATTTGGGCTTTTCTCATAATCTCGGGTCTTCTCCTCTACCAAAGACTTTAAAATTCTTGGACAACTCTGATTAATACTATTTCCACCATGCACATCAGAATTTTCATAACGCTTATTTTCAGGCTTTTAAGCGGAATAGAAAATGCATGTTTTAGTGAAGATATTTGATTTGACTCCTTTCTTTTTGATGCAGTTTAATCTTAATAACTTGCTAAGTTAAGCTGGTCAACTTCACCTCCTAACAAATCCCAAGCTTGGCTACTTTCTGCTCCATCCTTGGACTCCATCACTGCTGACTTGTACTGCAGTAACCTCCCTGCTTCCAGTCTTACCACTTATGATTCATTCTCTAAAGTACAAGAAGACTCTTACAAAGAACCAAAACCTAATCATGTCACTCTCCTGCTTAAAATGCTTCAATGCCCTCTCCCCTTTGTTCTCTGATGAAGTCCAAACTCAGCAGCATGTGGTGTATTAGCTCCCCAGCCTTGGCACCCCACTGCTTCCGGTGCTGGGTGTATAGAATCACGAGCTTTTCAGAATTCAGCTTGGCCACCACCTCCTACAAGAAGTCTCCTCTCACAACCCACTTCCCTTATCTTCTATTTATAGCATTCATTACAGATGACTGTCTCCTCTACTGGACTGTGTATTTCTCAGGGTAGAAAAGGACAGTTATGTCTTTTTAACATTGTATCCCCCATAACTTAGTGTACTGCCTCACACATAGTAGTATTTAAAAAATACTTGTGAGGACTTCCCTGGTGGTCCATTAGCTAAGAATCTGCCTTCCACTGCGGGGGACACGGGTTTGATCCTCGCTGTGGGAAGATTCCACAAGCCGTGGGTCAGCTAAGCCTGTGTGCCACAAGAAGAAAAGCCACTGCAATGAGAAGCCCATGCACCACAACTAGAGATTAGCCCCTGCTCTGCTGAAGTCAGAGAAAGCAATGAAGACCCAGCACAGCCAAAAATAAATAAATTTAAATTTAAAAATTATTTTAAAAACTTGTGTAATAATGAATCAATCTATCACTTTTCCTAAATTAGTTGAAATTAGGAAACAATAAGATGTATATATACGTATATATATATAATATAACTATCATTTTGAGTGAAATTCCAATTCCTAATCATATAAAATGAGAGGTAATTAAAATCACAAGGGCCATGTTTGCCTCATCTTTTACCTTAGAGAACTTTTTGATCACAGTCGTTTCCTTTCTGATTCTTTCCTTGATTCCTTATTCTGTGTTTTACCTTAGTTTTATTATATTGGGATTGGGAATATTATATAAACAACAGCAATAGAAAAATCTAGATGTGGCAATCTAAAATAATTTTCTTCTGGTTTATACAGAAGTAATAAAATTTTTTAAATAAAAATTTGGCAATTTTTTTAAGAAAGAAAAAGTGAAGAAATTTAAAATCACTTAAAAGCCCACTTTCAACAGATATTATGGTTTCATTTTTGTTTTTCCTTCCTTTGTTTCTATGTTTACATTTTTTACACTTAATACTGTACCAGGGGGGTTTTCCCAGGACTACGGACCCTACTTCCTCTCCTAGCCACACTGGCCTCCTCACAGCTCTTCCACAAAGTTATGCTTCCCCATGACCCAGGGCCTTTGCATGTGCTGTCACTTCTGCCTAGCACACACTTCCTCCAACTGCTGCAGGAAAGCAAAGGATCTTGGCCTATGTAATGACTGATTCTGCTTCCAAATCCTTCCTGATTTCTAGACCAGAAGTCTGGCAGCATAAAATTGGGCTTCCTTAATATATAATTATGGAGAAGGAAATGGCAGCCCACTCCAGTATTCTTGCCTGGAGAATCCTGGTGGGCTGCTCTTAATATTAAATATTAAATATTAATATTAAAGATGTTTATCTTATTATGAGACCCAGAAGCTTAATCAGAACTCTTCATGGTTTACTTAGTAATGCTCACGTTATTCATGTCCTGTGAGAGCAGATGAATAAACAATTTATTCAGTGTACTTTTCTTCACATGCAAGAAGTCCATCTTTGCCCCCTCCTGAGGCTGATACCATCCAAAGAAGGTAGCTATGCTCCTTACCTTTATTAAAGTAGAATTTGAAACATAATGGGGCCTTGTAAACTCACCCCTGTCCTTTTTTTTCTTTTCTTTTGACCTCATCCTGTGGCTTATGGGATCTGAGTTCTCTGACCAGGGATGGAACCTGGGCCCTTGGCAGTGAAAGCCCAGAATCCTAACCATTGGACCACTAAGGAATTTCCTCACCCCGGTCTTTATAATCTACTTACTATTCCCCAGTTGCCTTAGATTTAGGCCCCTCTCTTGCTCCATCCAAGCAGTGGTTCTCAAAGTGTAGGCCCCAAACTAGTACCGAAGCATCACCCAGGAACTTGGTAGAAACGTAATTTCTCAGCCCAACCCCAGGCCCAGCAATGTGTGTATCAGTGGGTTCTCCAGGTGACTCTAATATATTCTAGTAAGTTTGTGCGTTAGCACAAGTTTATTGAAATTCTAATAAGCTTTGAGAACCACTGCTTCAGGAATGGGAGGGAGTATTCTTCTCCCTGAATCCCGTTCTCAGGGTGCTCTCAGAGTTCCTGACAATAACCAGCCTGGCTGCCTGGTTATTTGCCTGCTGGTCAATGTTAAGTCCTCACTGCTACACATAGCATCCTGTTAGCACACCCACATGATCTCTTACTGACCTTCCTAGTGCTGGCTGTTTTCTTTGAACTAACATCAGTCATCGTAGCCTGTGGTGTTTCTAATTACTGTAGCCTGTCTGGCTGGATTTTATCTTAGCAGCTGCAGCAGTGTTGGTTTAACTTCTCTATCACCTGCCCCCAGTGAGTTTATCTTGCCCAAAGTTCTATTCCCTTTGGGTCTTATATGACTCCTTAAGTGCACTCTACCAAGTCTGATCTTGACAAAAGGACCCTAAGTTCCTAACTAAAGTCAAAGGTACAAATGACAGACCAGAACACATTATTGCTTAGGTAGTTTAGAATTCGCAAAAAGGAGAAAGGGCAGGAAGAGACTTTTCACTATGTATCTATTCATATTCTTTGATTTTTGAGCAAGGTAACTGTTAACATACTCAAAAATATTTCTAATTATTCTAAAAAATGCATAGTAAGAATAGGAATTGCCAGGGGAAACTTCCTGGAAGAAATGAGCCTCATCTAGACTAGTGCAAGGGGTGAAGATCAACAGCGAAGGGCAGGGAACCCATTCCAAATGAAAAAAGAGAAAGGAGTAAGCAGACAACCGCAGACTGTGCAGAGAACTGTGGACAGACGGGGTGAAGAGGCGGTGCTGACTGGTATCCTTTTACTAAAACAAGCTGATTTTCACAACTCATCTAGGTTACGGAATTCCACTGAGAGACGGAGATGAGAAAACAGATGAAGAAGCAGAGGGGCCATATTCAGATGACGAGATGTTAACACACAAAGGGCTCCGAAGATCGCAAAGCATGAAATCTGTGAAAACCGTGAAAGGCCGAAAAGAGGTGAGTCAAGTGTAGAGAGCTGTTTTCCTAATGATTAGTATTAAGAAATTTCCCTGCTGCATGCTCATTTAGGATATTAATGATCCCTAAATGAAGGATTGAAATGATACAGTACGGGTTATATTTAAAATTATTTATTCCGGTCAGATGGATTAAGATCTCTGGCAATTTAGAAAATGATAATAAATTCCTAGTCTTTCACTATAAGTGGAAAACAGTATTCTCACGTAGCAAAATCAGACAATTGATGGGAGTACCCAGTACCAGCCCTCACATATATATAAAGAAAGCAGCTAACAGTATCAAATACATAGTTTTGTTTTAAACCGACTCTATATCGGGTTTAAATAGTAAAAGTTTATTCATAATAATATATTGTCTTTGTGCCCAGAAAGCAGTGGAGGATTTCAGTGAAGGCCTTAGGTCTTTGTGGGCAGTGTTCATGGACATGTACCAAACAAAGTGTAAATAATAACAGTTTATGTTTTTATTTATCACTAGTGATAATAATCTGTGCATATATGTAACACAATACCGACTACATTTTGGAATATATAGATAGTGCTGTCTTTTGAGTGCACACTTAGAGGACAATTGATTCTCTATGTCAGGAAAGTTTAAAAGTTATTACTGTGGTGATGATTATGAAGTCCTATCTAATTTCAAAATCTGATTCATAATGATAACACATTTCTCTCTTCAGGTGCGGTATGGGTCACTAAAATACAAAGTAAAGAAGAGACCACAAGTGTATTTTTAGCCATGTACACATCAAGTATCTCAAGACAAATTATGCTAATACATCAACTTGTTTTTCTAACATCATATATTCGGGATGTATCCATTAAAACCATTCTTTAAATTGTGGTGGTGATAGGGTTTACTTTCAATTTAAATAGTTTTTATTTCTTTAACAACTACTTCCAAATCTTGACTACTAAAGGTAGTTATGCAAAAATAGATAGATAGATAGATCAGAAATAAAAGAAAATTGTGTTATCTGTTGTCAGATTCTTCAAAACATTAAGTGCCTGAGATATAAGGTGAAACACAGATTCACAGTATACTTGAAAGATGGTTCAAGCGACATCAGCCTTTGTGATTTTGTATTGTGTTTACCTCCATTTCTGTTGTAACTATCATATGAGGATAGTAATTAAATAGGCTTCTGATCCAGCAGTGATAGAACAAGGGTATAATATAAAATATGTTTTATATACTTCTCAAATTTTTACTTTGTTAATACTTTCTAGTTTTCCCACCATCCACTGAAAGTTTTCAAGACAACTATTTGAAAACCAGGTATCTACATAGCACTTTCATTCCTGACTAGTTTTGCACACTTGAAAATTGTTTACGTATTTTACAACTATACATTTAAGTTTTATTAACACTGTCTTTACTGTTATTTGTCATATTCTGACTTGTCAAATTTATGCCTTGAATTATATCATCTCTTTTCCTGTGAGTTTCATTAGTTATATTCATTTACTTTTAATAATAAAAAATAGAGCTCATAGTTCATTTTCAACTACTTCTACATATCTTTCATACAGATAAGTTCTTTAAAATTTACCAGCTTCCCATATTTAGTTCTACATTGTAGCTGAATTTAGCATGTTTTTGTTAACACTGGTTTCATTTTCAGCTTTTAAAAATGGTAGCTTTTGTGAAATGGAATCAGAGACCAGTATAGCAGGTAGATAGCTTCCAGTTCATGAAATTAACCAACAACCAGTCTATTCGCAAGCTTGGCGCTGACACGGGGTGCCGATTTATAAATCTGGCACTGACTCTACACACCTGAATCATTTCACTTCTGGCTGAGATAATTTCCTGAAGATCCATGCCAATGCAAAATACAAATGTTGTTAATCTTACGTATTAGAAGTTATTAGAATAGATTCTAGAAAAATATCGTGTTTTTAATCCAAGAGATTTTGAGTTACCAAACTTTGAAGCTTTTTAAGTGGCATAGATAACTATGCATTATGAACCCCAAGTCAGTGTATTTCTGATGATGGTTTTAGTAACCAGTAATCAAAATTGTATCATTATACAAATCTGTATGATTATACTCTTTCATATAATTTACTTGATTATTCTGTTTACCCAAAAGAAAAAAAAACAATGAGAGAGATTTGTGAGATCTTTGACCTTTCTGCCTTTCAAGAAATGAAGCCAGCTGGGAATGTATATTCAGGACCCACTCTGAGTGTTGGTAAAGAACAGAATGTTTACTCAGGAGTACCTTACTATAATTCATACATTTCTCTTCATGCAAGTCTTAAAATGTCTTCCAGATTATCTGTCTTCCAGATTATCTCACATTCTCAATAAGTAATACCATGTAAAAACTTCATTAAATTTATTTTCCCCCAAAGTTTAATTCTATGAGTATCTTCATCTATTTTATCTTAACTAATTCAAAATTCCTATGAATTCTGGTTATAAACTCTGGAAGAGAGTTTAACGTAGATTGCCTAGGAACACTTGACTTCCCAATATAAATGCTACATGTGCCATGCTTACCTTTCCTACACAAGGGCAGAGTCATCTCAAATTGCCTAACAAGGTCATGTAAGTGACTTTGTATCAAAAACATTACTTTTAGGGGCTGATTTGCACCACTTTATTTTATTTAAGTCTAATTTCTGTATTAAAAATGGCTATTCTTTAATTATCGTAAACTCACAAATACTGTCCTAAATTGGAGGAATTATTTATCCTTCTACACTGCTAGAGTCAAAATGTTTAACCAAGAGCAATACTAGTTTCAAAAAGATAATGCAAATCCTTCTATTTAATCATGTCTCAAGGCTTCCTCTGATATATTTGTTATAACCTTCTGTACAGTCAATGTCACTTCGCTGTTCTATCATTTCTATTCTGTCCTTTCATTTTTTACATTTTGCTTCTTTTCTGTGTGTTTTAGCATGCTTTCATTTGAATTTTGTATAATAAACTTGTACGTCTTTGTTTCTTTTAAGGTGGAACAGGTCATTTTTTTGTTTCTCTGCTTTTAAGTCTAATTCTTATAAAAAGAGGTGTGTTTATCCCTAGACCACAGTGCCTTGCATCCCACCACCACCATTTGGTGAATGGGCATTAGATGCTGCACAAGCCTTTAGAACACTATTTTGGTAGCTATTAAAGTTTATCCAGAAACTGTACCTGGTGTCTCAGTTTATTGTCATTCAACTTGTTCCTGAATATTAACTATTTCCAGGGTTTGTTTAGAAGGAAGAATTGATCTATTCTTTAGCTTACTGTATTTTTTTTCTGGTGTAAAAATGAGCCAGAAATAAGCCTTATTGCTAAGTAATTATTTAAACCCACATAATCCCTGCATAAGAGTCCCTCCACACACTTCACTATATGTATGTGAATTTGGATAGAAAATAATGTTGCCAGCATTACCAGTTTTAAATACTTGACTATACAGATTGATGGAATAAAATTATTAAAATGTTTTCAGGGAACTTAATCCATATGTCACCACCAAAGATTTCTACAGTGTTATAAGGTGTGTAAATGTTCCAAATTTCTGTAAACATTGGTTAGATAAGAGTTTTTTTTTTTTTTGGAATAACACAGTTTGTACTCTGGAATGCTTGAACTTTTGTGTTATTAAAAATAATACAACACTATCTTAAATATTAGTAATTTGTATTTTTAATTGGAATAGGCTAAATTTTTATTTTGATTTTTTTTATCAGGAAAAATAAGTTAATATGTACTGAAGAGCAATTTCCTATGTTTTCTTCTGTGTAAGTTGATTCATTTAAAAGCAACTGGGTAAATTTTGAAAAGATTATTGTGGTATGTAGTGTGTGTTTCTTAGTAAACATCACTTAAGAATAAAGCTTTCTGAAAGGAAAGTACAACTTTTACTCTATTAATGTTTTTAAGATTTAATCTTTTGGTAGTTTCCTACAGATTTAATGTATATTAACCCTTTAAACATTGACCACGAATTAACATTTTCTCTTATAACACCTTTTAAGTCTATGTACTTTAGTAGTTAAGAGAAAGCAGTTTTGCAAGTTTTAATCTCTTTGTAAAAGCTATCTTTAGGCCCAGTATGAGGATAATTTTACAAATGTGTTTTTTGAAAACTTTAACATAAAATAAACTCATTTTACTAGTGATAACTTGTATTTTTTTTTTCTGTGTCAGAGTGTTTATGTTAGGTTCCATGAAATGATATTATTTATTACTGTGTGTCTTGATTTAAATAATAAACAATATATACACACACTTAAGATTACAAGTCATAGAGCAAATTATACAAATCATATACATTCTTTGAAATATTGCCATGTGCAACAATATGGATGGATCTAGAGAATATCATACTAGGTCAGGGAAAGCTGAATATTGTATGATATCGCTTATAGGCGGAATGCAAAAAATAATACAGATGAGTATATATTCAAAACAGAAACAGACTCACAAACATAGAAAACAAATTTATGGTTCCCAAAGGGGAAAGGGGGGACATAAATTAGGAATATAGCATTAACAAATACAGACTACTACGCATAAAATAGATAAGCAAAAGAAGTTACTGTATGGTACAGGGAGCTATATTCAATATCTTGTAATAACTTACAGTAGAAAATAATCTAAAACTATCTATGTGTGTCTAACTGAAAAAAATCATACATTCTGGAATGTTCATCCATAGAATTACAAAAGAAATAACTAAAATTTGGATGTTGGAAAAAGAATATGGGAAAAAACAACTAGTACAGAAACCCTAGTCATCGATTTATATTGTTAGCTGTCTCAGACACAAAATATAACACAAAATTCAATTTTATGTATCCTGGAAATGTTCTAGGGTTCCATCTGTTTTAAAATCAGATGTCTGTCTGCCTCACATTAAGCTTTAGAGAGAAAGCCTGTGTTTAAAAAAGTTTCTTTGTGTTACTTCATTATGATATATGATGTGTTAAAGTATCGCCAAATGGAATTATATTTTCATTTTTATTAGAATATATCCCCTTTTGATGATCCAAAGAAGTCAGAAATTTAAATAAAAATTCAAAGAACACAATGACTATATAAATTGCAGCATTTTTGTCAGTGTTTTATTCTCCTTTTTTAGTAGTTCACTGTTCTTGAGAAAGAGATTCATGGAACAAAAATCATGTGCGACTGATTCATTGTTCTCTGAAAAACAGTCTGCCCTTTTAAAACCTACCCATCAATATTTTATCCTTGAAACACTCTCCTTATGGTCTCTTTTTGGTAGCATTTTTTAAATTGCTTTTTATAAGATGATGCTTTGAATTGAAATTTTAAAGCACAAGATTGATAACTGTCCATAAGTGTAGGATAGATACTGTATTCAAAAAAGCAGGAAAAGTATCCTATTTACTCTTACTTTACCTGGCAATCCCAGTTAAGGACAAGGGGGAAGAATAAAAATATATGTATATGGTATTTTGGCACTATGTGTAAATCAAATTAGCATAATTTTTTCATTCATAAATATTCCTTGAGGGTCTGTTGTGAATGGTAGCTCTGTTATGTTTCTGCACAATGCCTATATCCAAGTAGGATAGCATAACAGTTAATTTAAGTACAATGATTCTTGCTTTAAAAATAACAAATTCACTGTTACCAAATGTTTGGATTGAGTATTATTTATGCTTTAATTTATCTTAGGCTATTGAGTACTTTGGTTTCTCTCAAAGCAGGTTTTGGTGTTTGGTGTTTGGTTTTTGTTTTTTAAATTCTTGGTTCTCTTCT